AAGATCATTAACTAATTAAGTTCTTGTCAAAGATCAAAACAGAAAAAAAGAAGATTTATATTATATTATTCATCTGTTGAAATACTTTTATATATGTAAACATTTTTCAAATCTTTATAATATTCTAGTAACAACGTACGCTCAGATTCAATGAATTGTACGCAAAAATTGCAACGTAACAATTTCCTTAAACATGTATTCATAATTTTGATTTTTCTATCATTTCAAAAAAAAATCAATTGTATTGATTCACTCTCTATGCGATACTATGATTCAATTAGAATCTAACTAGACAATGAATAATCGTCTGTTATCTCGAACAATATGAAAAATTAATTCTATAATTAATGATGAAATGATTAACAACAAGTAATGGAAATATGAATGTTACTATTGATGTACTTATTCATAATGTCAATCATGAATTATCTAAAATAGATTTTAAAGCAAATTGTTAATTGAATAGATCTATAGTTTAAACGATCATGAAATATATGTGAAAATTCTCTTCATATTAACATTCATATATATAACATTTTAATTTTATTTTCTAAAGATTGTCATTTTGTTATATATTTTGTATTCTGAGTACACTGTTGTTCGCTTTGTAGACTCGTCTCTCCCATCGATCTTTACTTCAGATTCAAGAAATCATAATTGTATTTATTATTCGAGGCAAAGAGAAAAAAAAATGTGACGGCCAACCCTTCAAGGAGAAACCATTGAAATACGTAGTAAAAAAAGAAACAATAGTGCTGAATGCCCACAGATTTGATCATGCCAGCTGCATTAGTAGTACTAACAAAAAAAAAAAGATAATGTATCATCTATCGCCAATGGTTATATTGTTTGCTAGCACGTCCCACCGCGGCACGAGCTTGACGAGACAAGTAACAAGGACGCCTTTCACTTCTATAAACACACACTAATTTCATTTTCATTTTTACTGTACATAATGATAAAAAATGTGTGAACAATATTCATGGACATGATACATTGTATTCTTTTGCTTTTAGGGCTTTCTTGATGTCGCGCTATCATCATATTCATTATAGTAAGATAAAAACTAAAGTAGGAGTGTCCGTCGCCATTCTTTTTGAAATATGAGAAAAAAAGAAGAAAACGGAAACGGATTTTCTAATTATCTTTTTTTTTCTATCTTGTTCTCTTCTTCTTAAAGTCAAAATGAAAGTTGACCATTGTCATGGATTGAACAAATGACAAGCCATCAAATTTTTTAATTAAAATAGGTATCAAATAGATTGAAATCACTATCAACACATGTTGACAATGATGAGTCTTCAAATAAGTACAAAGAAAAAAAATTTCACTTTTCTTTGACAGACCTTCGTTAATTCGATTAGTACTGAGAAGAAAAGAAAAGTTTCATGCCGAGCTATGAGAAATTCAAGAATTGCCTACCATTTGGTTCAATCATATTCATTCTACTTATATTTATAATGTATGATAAAAATATTTGCTTGAGAGAATAACAATAAAAATGATGATCAGTCGTTTATTAAGGTCAAATTACACATTCAGAAATATTCCAACAAAAGAAATTCTAGTTGAATATAAACAAACACAAAAAAAAAAATAAAACGTCTGTCACAATTCATTTTTTAAGATAAAAAAAAAACCATAGTCTTCTTCATTTAAAAGTTAATTTGACTAACGGAAATAGATTAATATAAAAGCCTTGATGACATGGGCAATGTTTGATTTATCAACTTATCTTCGTTGCTATCATTAATAATGGCGCCGATACTTTACAAATTTTTTTTTTCTCTAATTTAGACAATTGAGTTGACACATACATATGGTTAGTAGTCTTCGAAATCAAGCACGAACGCTGATGCTTGTCTCGTCTTACTAAATATAATTATATTTGAATGATAATGGACATAAACGAATACAAGTAATAAATCAAAATAGGAAGTAGATTTTTTTTTCTCGCTTGATAAAAGTGTTTAAGTACATGCTCGTATACACATCTTTCTTTCTTTTTCTTTTTTTAGTCTTCTATTATAAATAGACATGCAATGTTCACAATTAATACTTCAATAATGACATTGTTGTTTGACTAATGGATTACAAATAGGAATGAAAGAAAAGAATATCATACGGTTGCCATTATGAACAAACTCATTGATATTCTTAGATTGTACTATATGTAGACAGAGAAAGAAAAAAAAGAACGACAATGGATTGGTAATTGTCTGTAACAAGTTAATTTTAGAGAATATGATGAAAAAATTAGATCTGACACAATCCTTGATTTATCTTTCTCATTTAATGTTGTCTATCGATGCTGACATTAGTGACAGATTTTTTAATAGACGAACTGATGATTATATTTAGACTAAGCATTTTTATACTTGTATTTCTTGTTTTGTATATTTTAATATTAATGAATAATTAATTTGTATTGATTCAAAGTTCGTCATCTGAAAAGTTTGTTATGTTAATCACAGTTTTTTTTTGCGATAGAGAAAAGAAACACTGACGAGGTGTCATCATCACTGTTATAGCAACAATGTTATTTTAAAATGAAATCTCAAGAGAATATTAAAAAAAAAAAATGAATAGAATAGATAACTAATTGAACGTAATCATTCAACTTGACTAGAACTATTATTACAATCGCCAACTCATTCGGGTTTAATTATTCAAGCTTGATCGCTCAAGCAGACAATACATTTATCATTCTACATAAAAAAAAACTCGTGTATATGTATTTATGACAGAGAAATGATTAGCTCATCGGCTAACTTGTGTTTCGAGATAAATTGGCATTTAAATGATCACTTATTGAACAGCAGTCCTAGTAATCTACTTGGTCAGTAAGATACTTCCTTCCTTCAACATATATCTTTTTCTTTCTTTTCTTTTCTTTTGCTCTCTCTCTCTCTCTCTCTCTCTCTTCCTCGCTCTCCTTCTTTTCTTTCTTTACTAACATTTTTTACTTGTTGAATAGACATTTGTTGTTCACTGAGTATACACATAACTCATACATATCAGAAGCTTGTTGAAATGGTGGCATTTCAAGATAGGTATAATAACTTTTTTTAGTTGAATCCTAAATAGAAGATTATGAATAGAAGCAATAAAGATCATTGAATTGTTGTTTAGATTTTTCGAAATAATGCTACGTATTTATATAATATTCATTATATTCTATATTTCATTGACATTATCAATACGTTTAAAATATCGTGAATCAGTTAAAGAAAATGTTAATTTATATTATACAATAACATCTCTGGATAAAATGCTTTCTGCTAATTATCAGCAATCAATTGAATTTTTAAATATAAATTCTCCATATACAACATATTTTCTTGTTGATGGACAAAAACTACGTACGAGTCGTTTAATTGATCGTGAAGAATTTTGTCGAATTAAATTATGTGAAAATTTCATATGTCATCCATGTGAAATATATATGGATTTTGTTTTAAAAGAAAATGGTCAACCACGTGATATTATTTCATTAATATTAACTATTGAAGATGTTAATGAATTTCGACCACAATTTTTAGATAATTCAAGAAATGATCAAATAATTCACTTGAATATTAGTGAAGGCGTGCCTGGTATGTATACATCTTACATAATAGATGACCTTTTATGCACGAATGCATGACATTCTGAAGACTAATTAGGGTCTTATAAAGGACATTGTAAATGGATTCTTTTCTCAATAGCTTACAAATCTTATGATTAGAATGGTTGGATATATTTATATTTATTTTTTCTAGTTGGACACATGTTACCCATTCTAAGTGCAACAGATAACGATGGTGAAGATGATGAACTTATTTATTGGATTGATAAAGTAAAAAAAATTCCATTCGAACTCGTTTCTTTTGGTTCTAATCAAATTGGTATACATATTTTTAAGTATTTTTCTATTTCTTATTCTTCGTTTGTTTTTTTTTGCAGCTTTAAACGTTACTGAACCTTTAGATCGTGAAATACAAGATTTTTATGAACTTAAATTAACAGCCAGTGATCGAGAAAATCTTACTACAACAATATCTATTCATATTTCAATTAGTGATATTAATGATAATGTTCCAATATTTGATCAATCAAATCCTTATCTAATAAATATATCTGAAAGTATACTTCCATCTTTAACTAAACCTCTTCTTCGTATTCATGCATTTGATAATGATTCAAACGAAAATAGTCATATAATATATAATTTTAGTTCACAAGCATCCGAATTAGTTCGTCAAACATTTCAATTAAATAGTCAAACAGGAGAATTATTTCTTATTCAATCACTTGATTATGAACAATATAAAGAATATCGTATTCCAATAAAAGCACAAGATTCAGGTCCAGTATCTGTACCTGTTTATACACTTATTATAATAAATATTGAAGATGAAAATGATAATAAACCAACAGTTAATATTCGTATATCAGAATATTTTCAATTTATAAATAATACATTATATATAAGTGAAGAAACACTATTAAATACATTATTAATGCATATATTAGTACAAGATTTAGATTCAAATTTAAATGGTAAAGTTCAATGTTGGATTGAATCATTAGATTATTTAAAATTTAATATAACAAATACAATAAATAATATGTTTTCAATTTATACATCACAATTATTTGATCGTGAAAAACAATCAAATTATTTATTTCATTTAATAATTGAAGATTTTGGTTTAAAAATTCAACATAGAATTAAATATGATTTACAATTAATTATAACAGATATAAATGATTGTTCACCTATATTTAATCAATCATATTATAATATAACAATTGAAGAAGAACAAGAATATAAACAAGCAATTATAAAATTTCAAGCATATGATTATGATTTAAATGAAAATAGTTATATAACTTATGAATTAATATCAAATGAATATAAAAAATTATTTTATTTAAATAAACAAACAGGTGAATTATTTTTACAAGAAAAACTTGATCGAGAATTTAAATCTAATTATAATTTAACAATACGTGCATATGATCATGGAAAATATCCAACACAATTATATACTGATATATTATGTTATATAAAAATTTTAGATAAAAATGAATATAAACCAGAATTTGAAAAAGATATTTATTTATTTCATAATATTGATGAAACAATTTTAATTAATACATCTATTGGTTTTATTAAAGCAAATGATCGTGATGAAAATATAATTATTTATTCAATATCATCATTAAATTTTAAAATTGATTCATTAACAGGTGAAATATTTGTTAATCAACAACTTGATTATGATACAAATGAATCATGTGAAAATTTATTTGTTATAGCACAAAATTCAGATGGATTAAATTCAACTTGTCCAATTGAAATATGTCTTCAACCAATTAATGAATATTCACCTGAAATAGATTTTCAATCTCGTTTAATTTATATTAATATTGATAATACAAGTTTCATACATATAAATGCATTTGATCGTGATCGTTCACCATTGAGTTTTATTTCTTTTCAATTTGAAAAAATATCATTAAAATGTAATTTAACATTTTTATCTAATGGAACAATATATATAAATAAAGATGAATTTTGTATTGGTATTATTGATCTTTTTATATCGATTAATGATAATGATCAATATCCAACATCAAAAATAACAAATGAAACTATACGTTTAGTTTTTTATTCAAATATAATAACACTTCAACAAATACTTTTTTCATCAAATTATAAATTTGCTGTTGAAATTATAATTATTTCTATGATATTAATATTAATATTAATTATTTTTTGTTTAATTTTAATTATTGTATATAGACAACGTAAACAAATATTATTAAATAAATCAACACAATTAAATATTATTAAAAATCAAATTGGTTTTACAGAGGTAAATAAATTATTTATTAAACTACGATTTAATTACAATTATTTCTTATAATAAAATGTTCAAAAAACAAAATTTTTTTTTTCTTTCAAGAATTTCTAAATAAATTTTTATATTTTAGAATCATAGTTTACTTAATGATGGTGTTATAGATGTGACAAATATTACATTACAACCAAATACAAATAGTGATACAAGTTCGTCATTTAATGATTCATGTTATGGTTCATCAGAAATGGATGTATATCATCATTTAACAGGAAATAAATTACCTGGAAAAATTCTTATATCATCTGATGATAAATATATTTATCTAAGTAAAGATCAAAATAATATAAATAATGATGAAATAAATTCATCATCATCATCATCATCATCACCATCACCAAATGGTAATAATAATACTAATCTTATAACAAGATATCAATTAAATAAACGTACAGGAACAATACAACAATATCATACACAATTAAAAACATCAAAACAAAATTTAGAATTTTTTCAAAATAATAATGAATATAAAAAAATACTTAGTTCAACAACAAAATTTAATTATAGAAATATGACACCACTTAATGAATATTATCTTTAATAAAAGTTTATTTTGTTGCCGGTGATTGAATTAATATGATGATGATTGAACTATTCGAATGTGTCATTTTGTGTTTGTTTAATAATAACAATTTAAGTCAGATAATTCTTTTCTTTTTTTCTTTTCTTTTTTTGTGTTGTACATTTATGTGTGTTTTTATCATTGATTGAAATGATAAAAGAGAAGACATAAAAATGTGACTTGTTACATCATAAGATGGAATGTGCGTGTATGTAGATTGCTTTAGTTAAATCAATATGTATGCACGTTTATTCTCTTAGGAAAAAGAAATGTGAACATGAGATTATATGAAGACTGTTAAATGACCGTTACAGCTCTTTCTTTCTTTCTTTTTTTCCTCATTCTCATAATACAAGGTCATTATTTGCACGAACAGATATATATACATATATATGATCTCTGTGGAATATGTATATATAATCCTTTATTAAATCTTATTCGAATTTACTTTTCTTTTTATATTAAAATTTGTTTAACAAATTAGACAATGGAATGTACATTTCATCTATTTTTCTTATCCTTTGTAATGCATTTAAAAGACTTTTAGACAACATATTATGTAAAATATTTGTGTTTGAGTAAAGTGTCATTTGAAATGTATATTGAGTGATGTATTATTTTAGACATAC